TAAGATGACTGAGAAAAAGCTTGATTGACTTTCACAGTTTTAATAGCAATTGCATCAATAAAGACGAGCTTCATAGGTTATTAATTGAATTCAAAACCTTCTATAGCTGCTGGAGAAGTCTTTGGACGGTGTATCTGCCTTATATTACTGCTAGAAAGCTCATGAATTCTTCCAGTGTGTTGGTTGCCATTTTTATTTTACTGTGACCGCTCCCACTTTCAATGAAAAATTGAAAAATGACTTTATATTGCATTGGTAATGCATAGTATCTATCTACCGTATTAGATCTACACATAAATAGGGGTGACGTACGAGGACAGACAAACAGAGTGAGGGGCGTGACTGAGAGTAATGCTAGAGTGGGGCGAGCTCAGGCTCGCCCCAATTAAATAAAATATTAATATTTTGAAGCTGATTTTAAACTATTGTGAAACTACAACACTGATAATAGCAATACAGTAACTTCAATACATTATGTAACATTGCAGGCTAGTAATTACTATAGTAATATCCTTTAGAAAGAACGGAACAACCAAAATTTAAAAGTGTAGTACATACAATGTACATGTAATACATCTAAAGTTTTTCCAAATGCCATGTACTGTAGTGTAGTGCTTGTCAGCTCATGAAGCTCATGCTGTTTAGCTCACTTAGCATGCTTTGTGGGAAGCCCTGAAGCCAAAAATGATTAATAGACTATTATGTTAAATTGCTTAATTAAAATTTATATCATTTTAAAAATTATGTTGTTCCAGCAAAATAACAAACAAAATGGTTGGAAAATGTCCAAGTGTTATTTCAGGCTCTCCACTACATTGCTAAATTATATAACTGGCAGTGAATAATAAGCCCAAGAATATTATATCCCCACCCACTATTTCTAGTTTTAAGAATATTATTAGTAAGTATTGTTTGTTCATAGTAACACAACAAAAAAAGGAAACACATTCCTGCATCCCTGCACATACATAAGTATGTTTACATTGTGCTGATATATTATTATGTCATTTAAATATTACAGTCTGTCATACCTTGTAGTGATTATTATAATCTTTTGCTATTGTTAATTACAATAAAGGCACACCGTATTTCCTCAAATAATAGCCCAGGCACTTATTTCTTAAAATGACATTTGGACATTGAAAAAAAAATCAAAAAAAAAAACTTGGGCCAACAGCAGGATTTGAACCCCAGAACCTCACACAAGTGACTTTAGGAAACTCAAGGAAGTATCTACAATACTTGAAGGCTAGAATTGCGTATTTATAGTTCCGTTTTATTGCTAACCGGGCATTTATTTGCACCCAGCTGTTATTTGAGGATATACAATAACTGGAAGTGAATAAAAAACCAGCCAGTATTTCTAGCAATAAGTGTATAATTAGTAAGCATTGTTGTTCATATTGTAACAAGACAAAAAGGAAACACATCCTTGCATTGTTTGGTAGCATCTTTGTTGCTTGCTAAACATCACTCATATATAAGTCTTGTTTATCACAAAAAGAACCAACAGTCTCAATTTCAGTCTTTGTTGGAGTCACGAACAGTCTAGTAAAATGTCAAGGATGTTCATCTTTATGTTGTTGTTGCTGTGTTTAATAGTTACCATTGATGAAGGAGAAGGATCTTATTGTATGGCTGATTGTACTGGATATAAACATGAACCATCACTGTATCTGAGAGTATGCTGTATCATTAGTAACTTAGGCCAGACTGTTACCATTAGAGGAATCGGTAAAACAAGATATATTCTTTGTCCTAAAGTACAACCAAAGTCTTGTCCAAAAGGTACTGCACTAATAGTAGAAGTGTTTAATTCTTGTATTATAGATGATTGTAAGAGCTTGTTTGAGGATGGTATTACTACTAGTGGTGTTTATACTGTTAATCCTGATGGAGGGACTCCATTTGAAGTTAGTTAAAAGTAATTTATAATTATACACTATTGGATCACAGGTATACTGTGATATGGAGACTGATGGTGGTGGATGGACTGTATTTCAGAGGAGACAAGATGGATCTGTTGATTTCTATAGGAACTGGACTGACTATGAGAATGGATTTGGTAACCTTACTGGTGAGTTTTGGTTAGGATTGAGCAAGATTCATCGTCTTACTAAAGAAGGATCAAACACACTAAGAGTGGACCTGGGAGACTTTGAGAGGAACACAGCTTATGCTAACTACTCTACATTCAGTGTTAGTGATGGTAGTACTGAATATATACTAACAGTAGGAGCATACTCTGGTACTGCTGGGGATAGTCTGACCTATCATAATGGAAGCAGATTCAGTACAAGAGATAATGATAATGATAACCATGGAGTAGTCAACTGTGCTCAGTTCTGCACTGGTGCCTGGTGGTACAATGAATGCCAAAATTCAAATCTTAATGGTTATTATTTTAATACTCCAATGATTAGTTTTAAAGGAGTCCGATGGTATTACAATTTGAGCGGCACCAGTCTCAAGTTCACAGAGATGAAAACTCATCGTAACAATTAAATACTGTCCCCCACACACATAAGTGTGTTTACATTGTGCTGATATGTCATTTCAATAATACAGTCTGTCATACCTTGTAGTGATTATTAATAACTATTAACTATTTGACTTTTATTAATTATAATAAATTAAAGCTGCTATTGAAGCATCATGAAGCTACACAACACTACAACTTCTCTCAAAGCAAAGTGTAAGCTAAGCACATCTACAAAATGGAATTTACTATAAAATTAGCTATAGTTGTAAGAAAATCAGTGAAAATTATATAAATAAACTACAGAAGCTCAGGTGATACATGGTTTAAATTCCAATCCTTTTCCAACTCATGTACAGTCTAGTAAAATGCCAAAGATGTTCATCTTTATGTTGTTGTTGCTGTGTTTACTAGTTACCATTGATGAAGGAGAAGGATCTTATTGTATGGCTGATTGTACTGGATATAAACATGAACCATCACTGTATATAAGGACATGCTGTAACAGCAGTAACTTAGGACAGACTGTTAGTATGAGAGAAGGAAGAGTGAAGACTATTACAATGTGTCCTAATGTAAGGCCACAAGCCTGTCCACCACTAGGTAAATAAACTAATGAAAACATTTATAATAATATACTGACAATATGAAACTAGATAATAGAGACTGTGAGAGCTTGTTTGAGGATGGTATTACTACAAGTGGTGTTTATACTGTTAATCCTGATGGAGGGACTCCATTTGAAGTTAGTTAAAAGTAATTTATAGTTATACACTATTGGATCACAGGTATACTGTGATATGGAGACTGATGGTAGTGGATGGACTGTATTTCAGAGGAGACAAGATGGATCTGTTGATTTCTATAGATACTGGACTGACTATGAGAATGGATTTGGTGACCTTACTGGTGAGTTTTGGTTAGGATTGAGCAAGATTCATCGTCTTACTAAAGAAGGATCAAACACACTAAGAGTGGACCTGGGAGACTTTGAGGGGAACACAGCTTATGCTAACTACTCTACATTTAATGTTAGTGATGGTAGTACTGAATATATACTAACAGTAGGAGGATACTCTGGTACTGCTGGGGATAGTCTAGGCAGCTATCATAATGGATTGACATTCACTACAAGAGATAATGATAATGATAACTATGGAAATAACTGTGCTCAGCGGTACACTGGTGCCTGGTGGTATAAATACTGCTATTACTCAAATCTTAATGGTCGTTATTTTAATACTGCAACTAATAATGATCAATCAATTAACTGGTACCATTGGAAAGGTGCAAACATTAGTCTCAAGTTCTCAGAGATGAAAACTCGTCGTAACAATTAAATACTGTCCCCCACACACATAAGTGTGTTTACATTGTGCTGATATATTATTATGTCATTTCAAAATTAGTCTGTAATACCTTGTAGTGATTATTAAAAATTATTAACTATTTAATTTTATTAATTATAATAAATTAAAGCTGCTACTGAAGCATCATGAAGCTACACAACACTACAGCTTCTCTCAAAGCTAAGTGTAAGCTAAGCACATCTACAAAATGGAATTTACTATCAAATTGGCTATAGTTGTAAGAAAATCAGTGACAATTATACAAATAAACTACAGAAGCTCAGGTGATACATGGTTTAAATTTCAGTCCTTGTCAAACTCACTGTCATACAGTATAGTAAAATGTCAAAGATGTTCATCTTTATGTTGTTGTTGCTGTGTTTAATAGTTACCATTGATGAAGGAGAAGGATCTTATGGTATGGCTAGTACTGGATATAAACATGAACCATCACTGTATATAAGGACATGCTGTAACAGGAGTAACTTAGGACAGGCTTTTTCTATCAAAGAAAATGGTATACCACATTATATTTTCTGTCCTAATGAATACCCAAAGTCTTGTCCAAAAGGTACTGCACTAATAGTAGAAGTGTTTAATTCTTATATTATAGATGATTGTAAGAGCTTGTTTGAGGATGGTATTACTAATAGTGGTGTTTATACTGTTAATCCTGATGGAGGGACTCCATTTAAAGTTAGTTGAAAGTAATTTATAATTATACACTATTGGATCACAGGTATACTGTGATATGGAGACTCATGGTGGTGGATGGACTGTATTTCAGAGGAGACAAGATGGATCTGTTGATTTCTATAGATACTGGACTGACTATGAGAATGGATTTGGTGACCTTACTGGTGAGTTTTGGTTAGGATTGAGCAAGATTCATCGTCTTACTAAAGAAGGATCAAACACACTAAGAGTGGACCTGGGAGACTTTGATAACAACACAGCTTATGCTAACTACTCTACATTCAGTGTTAGTGATGGTAGTACTGAATATATACTAACAGTAGGAGGATACTCTGGTACTGCTGGGGATAGTCTGGGCAGCTATCATAATGGAAGGAGATTCACTACAAGAGATAATGATAATGATCTCAGGTCAGGAATTAATTGTGCTCAGCAGTGGGCTGGTGCCTGGTGGTATAATAGCTGCCATTATTCAAATCTTAATGGTCGTTATTATAAAGCTTCCCCTGAATATGGTAAAGGAATTAATTGGCGCACTTGGACAGGATACGACATTAGTCTCAAGTTCTCAGAGATGAAAACTCGTCGTAACAATTAAATACTGTCCCCCAAACACATAAGTGTGTTTACATTGTGCTGATATATTATTATGCCATTTCAATATTACAGTCTGTCATACCTTGTAGTGATTATTAATAACTATTAACTATTTGACTTTTATTAATTATAATAAATTAAAGCTGCTATTGAAGTATCATGAAGCTACACAACACTACAACCTCTCTCAAAGCTAAGTGTAAGCTAAGTGAACATCTATAAAATGGAATTTACTATCAAATTAGCTATAGTTGTAAAAAAATCAGTTACAATTATACAAACAAACTACAGAAGCTCAGGTGATACATGGTTTAAATTCCAGTCCTTGTTAAACTCACGTACAGTCTAGTGAAATGTCAAAAATGTTCATCTTTATGTTGTTGTTGCTGTGTTTAATAGTTACCATTGATGAAGGAGAAGGATCTTATTGTATGGCTGATTGTACTGGATATAAACATGAACCATCACTGTATATAAGGACATGCTGTAACAGCAGTAACTTAGGACAGACTATTCCTATGAGAGAAGGAAGAGTGAAGACTATCATGGTATGTCCTGATGTAAGGCCACAAGCCTGTCCACCACCAGGTAAATAAACTAATAGTTAAAACATTAATAATATACTGACACTATAGAATTTGATAATAGAGACTGTAAGAGCTTGTTTGAGACTGGTATTGATATAAGTGATGTTTATACTGTTAATCCTGATGGAGGGACTCCATTTGAAGTTAGTTAAAAGTAATTTATAATTATACACTATTGGATCACAGGTATACTGTGATATGGAGACTGATGGTGGTGGATGGACTGTATTTCAGAGGAGACAAGATGGATCTGTTGATT